TCCTGCCACACCATACCTAGTTTTTGTACTGAGATCAAACCTAGAGTTTCATGCATACTAGGTAAGTACTCTACCTAGTAAGTTCATCTCCAACCTTGGTTGTTAGAAATCTGGGGATCAGGTTAAGACCCCACCACAGTCAGTGCTGGAAACTGTTTAAAGCAAGGCTATATGATGAGTAACTACAAGGCAATCAAAGCTATACCCTAGGCCAAATTCAAAAAAGCAACTGAGCTGGGTATGGTGCTGCACACCTGTAATCGCAGCACTCAAGGAGGCAGAGGCTGGCACATCTCTGTGAGTTAAGAGGCCAACCTGGTCTACAAAGCAAGTCCAGAACAGCCAAAGCTACACAGAGAAACCCTGTCTCAAAATAACAAAAAAGTAAAAAATAAGAATAAAAAATAAATAAGTAAAAACAATGAGGCAACTGTCAGGGCTGAAGAAATGGTTTGACACTTCGGAGCATTGTCTTCTCTTTTAGATGACACAGGGTTTAATTCCTAGCATACACATGGAGGCTCACAACTGTCTATAACTCCGGTTCCAGGGGATCCAACAGGTACTGCATACACATGGTGAAAGAAAAACATGAAGGCAAAATACCCATACACATAAAAATAATAAAAGAAAAAGCCAACAGTAGTGACATTATTATTAAAGTTGTATGAAAACATGCTTGTATTCAGAATTAAAGTCCTGAAGAACTTTTAAAGTCCTAAAGTCCCATATGCCACACAGCTCAGCCCAAGATGAGATGAGAATAATATACTCTAGAAAACACACATATACACATTTAGATACACTACACACCTCTGACTGTCCTGGAACTCCATGTAGATTAGGCTGGCCTCAAATTCACACTACACTTAACCATCTAAGCTTCCAACGGTCTTTTAGCCAGTCATCCTCACCATATGTTGCCTTTCACCTCTGGGCCTTTCCATCTGTTGGCAGTTCTGCTGCCTGCACCTGCCAGGTTAGTTCTGTTTACCTTAAGAATAAAACTCAAAGTGGGGCCATACTAGAAGACAGAGGTCAAGAGGCTTTGGTGAGTAAACAAGCTGTTGAGGAAAGAGAGGGTTTAAAAGCCAAAACATAAGTGTCTCAAAGAATGTTTATCTATGTAATATTTATACAAAGAAATATACCTTACATATTAAGGTTAGAAAGAATGACTGCCATAGAAAATTATCTGACAAGAGCAATACGTTTTCCAAAGATACAACTAAGAACAGACTGGGGTTTATGGCCATGTACTAGAAACTCAACAGAGAGGAAGAAAGAGAGATCACCCCCCCTGCCAAGAACATGCGAATAGCATGCTTGAACATTCTATTTCTTGGCCAAAGTTGACATACATGGACATATCTGCTTCTGTGTGACATTTATACATCAATAAAGTTATCACAGATGTTTTCAGTTGTAGGAAAATATCTTTATTGCACTGACAAGAATGTTTTAGTTGCATTCGGTTATTCTGAAAGAGAGAGATAGTTTCTAAAATATCCCTCTGATATGTAACTATTTTAAATTAGAGCCTGAGTATTTCAGAGCACTTTTTGTAAATGGTAAAGGCAAGAACTTGTAATAAATGATAGAAAGATATAGACATTAAAAAATGGACAAGTAAGCTTTATAAGGCTAACCAAAAGATAAAACAATAAAATAGAGAAATTGTAGTAAAAACATACACACATATTGCTTCAATTATATTTCGTGTTTTTAAACTTAAAATGCCCACAGAAAACTGTGAGTTGACTAACATTTTAAAGAGAGCACCTGCTGACAAAGCACAAAAAGAATACTTCATAAAAACCAACTTGATTGACTAAAGCTCCATTTATAGATTGCTCTTGATAGAACTAAAGTTTTCTGGTTGACTCCAAACCAATTATAAGTAATATATAAAAATACATGTAAAATGGTTGATTTAAAAAAAAAAACTGTTGCTTAAGCTTCTGTCTCATACTACTGGAGTCTTTACGTTTGGGACCTTTAAGATCAAAGTATATCTCCTCATATGGATTTTTCTAAACTCCAAACATACAGTTATCTTTCTCCTGAATGTCTTTAAGACAAGATTCAGTTTGGGGGCATGAAGAAACTTTTACCTTTTACTAAACATACTTCTGCATTGTTTGCATTTTCTTCCATTAAAAGTACCTTTAGCTATTAAATGAAAACAACTGGAATACAAGGAATTTGGAGGACTTAACAAACAAAAGAAACATCAATAAAATACCTCATGACAAAAAAAAAAAAAAAAAAAAAACAAAAAAACAAAACGTTCATTTTAGTCATAAATAATGTAACGGAAAGTTTTTTGTTTTTTGTTTTTTTAAATATAACCACTCCCCCAACGTGAAATCATCAACGAGGCAGAAAGAGCTGAACACTGAAAACTCTGGAGTGGGTGCAGACGAAATCGCTATCATTGCTTCTTTTCTAAGTGAACTTGTGTCTGGCAAGTGGACGGCACAGGACAACCTCGGTCATCATCCTCTCCATCCACCCTGTTTGAGACAGGCTCTCTGGTTCTTTTCTGCTGCTTAATGCCAGGCTCGCTGGCCTAGACACTCGCAGGGATTCTCCTGTCTCTGCTTCCCACCTTCCACAGGCCCTCGGCAACTACACACACTTACACGTTTGCAAGTTCTAAGGATTCAAAGCCAGGTCCTTAGGCTCGCAGAGTAAGTACCTTTTACCCACTGAGCATCTCTCAGCCCTGTTACCACTTCCAATGCATGTTAAACGAATTCCTCAGATCCTTCTCATTTTTATCTCACATATCTTTATGCGGTTTTCAAGCCCCGGTCTCCCAACCAGCAGTTTCAGCAACTTGTTAGAACTGAGAACTAGACAGGTATGTTGGCACACACCTTTAATCTCAACACTCTGCCAGCCTGGTCTGCATAGAAAGACTATGTCTCAAAACAAAACCAAACCTGAAAACCAACAGATTGGTTGTTCCATACCCACCCAATCCAGAAAGACTATGGTGGTAGAAATGGGGCACAAATAGAAAGACTTCTGGGTGAATCTGAGTTTGAGGCACTGTTCAATATAAAATTTCCTTATAAGTAATCCTATCTTATAAAAGCTAAAATTACTACATGATTAAACACATCAGAATGCTTTAGAACAGTATCATATGGATAACACTAACTTTTAATAAAGTATAAAAACTGGATAGAAAGGAAGGACACACAAGACATACTTGATCATCTACTTATTTGTGGTTCAGGTCATTATTAACCATCACAAATGCTTACTGTTTGTTTTTCTTTTTCTGCCGTGTGTGTGTGTGTGTGTGTGTGTGTGTGTGTGTGTGTGTGTGTGTGTTTTTCTAAGACAGGGTTTCTCTGTGTAGCTTTGACTGCCCTGGAACTCACTCTGTAGACTAGGCTGGCCTCGTACTCACAAAGATCCACCTGCCTTTGCCTCCCAAGTGCTGGGATTAAAGGCATACACCACCAATGCCCAGCTTACTATGTGTTTAATATTATGCAGTATACACTACAAATGTGTACTGATAGAGAAATCACTGCATTACTTGATTTCCATTAATAAATACCTATATTAAAGAGTCTAAAAGCTCATGTCCTAATCTTCCTTGCTTACTTGTTTTTTCAAAATTATGACCTAAGCGCTTGTGGCTTTGGTAGCAAATGTTTATTTTCAATGTGTTAGATGATAAATGTGTACTGGCTTTACCAGTTAAACCTTGATCCTGAACATCTGCTTGCCAGGTATTTACATGGGGACATTGAATATACTCCAAGTCTATCAACTCAAAACTGATCATCTTGAACACCCACCTCTATATATTTATTTCTCAGCTTCCAGAATGTAGTACAGAATTGCCTATGGTGAAAACGTTAACATTTTTTAGTTCTCCTTAACCTATGACCTCACAACCAATCACCAAAACGGGTCCTTCAACTTCAGCACTACTGTTGATATCCACTCTGCCCCTCACCCCCTACCCTGGCACATGCCTCTAGCATCTTCTGCCTGGATTAATGGTTCTGCTTCTTACCCTGTCAATTTTGTTCTATCTATAAAGAGTAAATTTTGTCTACAACAGGGTTAATTTCATAATATCTTTCTACTGCTTCAATTCCTCAAAAGCTGCCTGTGGTCCTCAGGATAAAAAATGAAACCCATTACTGCTCCATTTAGCTGCAAATCTCACACTACCTAAGTAACTCTTAAGTGTACTGAACTTTAGGTCCTAGAGAGCAGCAGTCTTTCTTGGCCATTAATCTTTCTAACAGAGTAACCTTTCTGACAGCTGTCTTCACTGGGTTTCTGTTTCCTGATAACAGTGTTTTTTGTTTCTGCTGTTCTGTTGTTGTTGCTTAGCCTTAGTTTTGACACATGGCCTTTCTATATAACCTTGACTGGCTTGGAACACACAGAAATCTGCTTGCTTCTGCCTCTTGACACCAGGAGATGTGTGGTTCTATGCAAAAATGATAGTTTTAATACTTCTAAATTTTTCATAAAGTTACCCTTATCACCACAAACAGCAAAAAAGTTTCCAAGAGCAGCACTTAGCATACTGTATTCTAATCATGTATCTCCCAGATTCAAGTTCTAGCAAGGATAGGAGCCACAACTAATTTTTCAACATTATAATCCTAGTGCCTACACAGCAACAAAGCATAAAATGAAAAGTGTCAGCTCAAGTCAAACATACGTAAAACATGTCATAAGTCATACTATTTCTGGAAAATTACTTAAGCTCTCTCCCTATTTTTCCTTATTTGTAATTTAAATATAGACAGTACAATCTTACAAGACTTTAGAAATAAACATGATTTGTGAGATATTTAACATGGTGTTCAGTACTCAGAATGTTGGCTACTTATCATGGTCAATATCAAAGAAAATATATAGAGAATAAATGCACTTTATTCAAATAACTAGTAAACACTTTAATGATATTACATAATTCTATAAGAAGGATTAAGTTTTATGTCCACATGGTACTACAGGGTTTTATATAGTCAATATTTAGTTGAGTTATAAAGCAGAATGTTCAAAGAGAATGACCTGTGCCCCATTGTCAGGAACCATCTGTTTATCAAGTCCAATCTGTTCCAAGCCAGGACTTCCCAGAGAATTTGGGGAGGTGTTACAAACCGAGGTGGTTACGTTATACCTTGCTGACTGATAAAAGCTGTAATACTCAACTCTATTTTCCACTGAGTTTTCTAGTGCCTTTAGTTTCTGTCTAAACTGAATAACTTTGTAGATCAAAAAAATGATTAAAACACAAGCTAAGATGAAAAAAGCTAGCAAAATGTCAAAAGCCTCATTCAGCTTCTCAACGTCTTGGGTACAAGTGAGAGGTGTTTTTCCTGACACAGAAGAGGCATCAATCGGCAGAGCACTGTGTTTTTCCAGGTTCAAGTTAACAGTAGTAAGCTGTATTTGCACAGGTAAAAGTGCAGTCGTCTCTAGTGCAGTACCAGGTGTATTCTCTTGAGAAACTCTACTGGCAGGTGAAGCACGGATCCGTTCCCAGACAGTAATGCTCTCAGTCACAGTGTTTTCCAAATGGTTCCCACGTGTGGTTACTTTATACCCGGTCATCATTAGTGCAGTGGTCTCGTGATGAATATGAAGAGATTTTTACAGCCCAAGCTCTGGATAGATTGGTCGAAGGCAAAGGCAATTTGTAATGTCGGTCCATTTACTATATCATACTGCTCTGCCACACACTGATAAGGGATTCTGATAACAGATGTTTACAGCAATGGCTGACGAGGCTAGCCAGTCTTGAAGACTCAAAAGTTTGCATTCACAAAATTGGAATTTGCCTGAAGATGAGTCAATGAAGACAATGGCTTAGGGACCCTTGGATGTAATTCTGTAAGATTATTAAATAACAGATTAAGGATCTTCAAAGATGCTCCCATATTCTCAAATGTATCATTATCAATGTTAAGATTATTGTTTCTAACTTAAATTGTTTAACAAGCTAAATGTATCAGGTTTAAATTGTCTAAATAATTATCAGTTAAGATCAAATGCTTAAGATTGTTAATTTTACTAACCCCATCCCTAGTAACGTTTATAATCATTACATGCTTTTTAGGAGGGGGCACTTTACATTGATGACACTTTTAAGTGCAAAAGTCTGTCATGTTTCAAAGGGCATAATGACAGTATCAAGATTTGTAAGACCATTTAATGGTACTTTTGTAAAAACATTTAAGGGCATTTTTGTTAAATTATTACTTTCTAGATACAAATAATCAAGGGCTACAAGATGTTGAAACTCTGAGATCTATGTTCTTAAATTTTTACTGCTCAATGAATCAAGACTCTGAGAGCAACTGCACAACAAAGGTAATGCTGCCGAGCACAGTGGCAAGTCCTCCGTAAACACAGACATTTATAGAGCATTAAACAAGCTTCTTGGAGTAAAGGACATCCAATTAGACTGCAAATAACAATCATGAAGCTCTGATAGACCTTTAAATAGTTCAGGCTCTAAGCATTTTATAAAACTGCTTAGAGATAGAAAATACAAATGATCTAATGGAACAAAGCCTTTTAGATCTTCATAAACAATATTAGTTACCCAAATAAAATGTTACAAGAGAATTAAGTACGATTAGTTCACTTTCACTTACATGAGACATTATTTCCAATCAGATACCAAAAAACTGTACTTTTAGGAAAATTCTAAGGACTGTGAAAGGCCTGTTAGTCTGTTTCCCAGGAAGAGTTGGTAAGAATACAAATATCCTAGTATTCCTTTATACAATCACACACAAAAAATCAGGTAACAATCAGAAATAAACACAGGCAAGGAAGAGAAAATGATAATCCACATGTAACTCAGTCTATATTTTTTCCACATTAGAACTGACTCCAAAGACAAAACTTTAAATAAGAAAGGTCCTAAAGCAAAAGTCTCAAAATACCAAAACTTCAGTAATCTATTTATACTAGGATAAGCCAAAACCGTATGCTAACACATATGACAGTGACATATGCTACAATGAACATTTGAGATAGAATTGCTAACAAAGCAATCAATCAAACCTATGAAACCCATTCTTTAGCAAAGATAATTCAAACTCAATAAACTGAAAAATGTTTGCTAAAATACATTATTACAACCGACTACAAGAAACACAGCAAATGATGTGAGGATAACAATTTTTGAATGCATACCCCATATTTTACATAAAGCCTAATATCAAGTAACAATTTATGAAACTATAAACACTACAGAAAAATCAAGCTGTAGTTTTCCACAAAATTCATTTCAGCTACAAGTCTGTACTTAAATAATCTTACCAAGAATAAGGAAATCATAACACCACTTGGCTTACTTAGGCAAAGGCTCTTGTTTTAAATCTGAAGAGCACCATTCCTTAACTCAGTTTCTTTCTGGGCCACTGCTGACCTCCTGCATTCCACCTTTTTTGAATTTTAAAGTCCCGGCTTGCTCAGGAAACGCCACTCTTCACACTGGTTCCTCTACAGTCAACGGGTAAAACAGGGGTTGCCATGGATACAGGAAATTGAGAGGCAGGAAGTCAGTTTATCTATGCTTCAAAAGTATTGTTGAAAGGAAATCTCAGGAATGTATTTTTTCAGAATGCGTTCAATCTACTTAATATATACACCTAAGTAGTTCCTACAACTTGAAAGAGGTTTTAAAAGCCAAATGCCTGAAAACTTGAGGTATTCGAAATCTAAATAAGTTGTCTCTAGTTATCAACAAAACATATTGTCTCTGTGTATTTGTACGTGTGTATGAAGATAAGCAATGACACTAGTGTCCCCTTCTATTACTCACCAACTTGCTTTTTTTGTTTGAAAAAAACATTTTATTTTTTAATTGTTATTATTATTATTATTAAGTTATTCACTTTGTATACCAGTTATAGCCTCCTCCCTCATCTCCTCCCGGGCCCACCCTCCCTCCCTCTTCCTGCTCTATCCCTCTTTGTGGGGTGACCTAGCCAGCTCACAGAGGAAGAGGATCCAGGCAGTCCTGATTGGACCTGATAGGCTAGGGCCTGATAGCAGGGGAGGACTTCCAATTTGCTTTTTAAGCCAGGTTCTCACATTGAGCCTGAACTCACTGACTGAGAGCTCCAGAGCTAGTCTGTACCCTAGAGACAGGTTTATAGCTTGCACCACACCTGGATTTTTAAGGTTGGAGTTGAGGATCTGCTGGCTCAGCAACACAATTACTTAGCAGAAGAAGCACACTGAAATAAAGGCATATAAAATGATTTTTATTTTTCTGAGACAGGGTCTCACTATGTAACCCTGCCCAGCTTGGAACCCTCTTGTACACAGAGGCCAGCTTGCCTTACACCTGCCTGCCTCTGCCTCCTGAGTCAGGGCTGAAAGGCATGGGCTACCACACCAAGAAATTTTAAATGCATTAACATATTTACTTTCAAACACTTTTTGAAGATTTATTCATTTAAAAACAGCACATAAAATCAGCCAATAATTTAGAATAATTAACAAAGAATACATTATCCTGAGATTTTTCTGTTTAAATTTTAAAAAATATTTTTTGTGCATAAAATACTGATTACTATCACTCAGTACCTGAAGAAATTTAGGCATATGGCCTGGGCGGCAGGAGACTATACAGTTCCCCACTAAATTCCTACCATCAGCTGTGCTGGCACGAAGGTTAGGGAGAAGCGGGGAGATGGCTGAGCAGGTGCAGTGCTCACCATGCAGGTCTGACGCCTGAGTTCAGGTCTCTCGCACCCAAGTCAGAAGAGCTGACTGTGCTTCAGACACTTACAAGCCCATTGTGAGGGAGGCAGGGCAGGAGAAGATCCCTGGGATTTGCTGGCCGCCCACCCCGCTTAAATCTACAGCCATCTACAGGGTCAGTTAGGGCCTCCCGTGAAAAGAATAAAGTGAAGACAGACTGAGGAAGACACCCAAAGCTGGACCTGGCTTTCACACACATGCACACATCATGTGTGCACATGCCCACCCTGCAGAAAGAGGAAAAGAACTTCCCGATGACTCTCCGCTCTACACAAATGTCTCAACTAGCTTGACTACTTAGCGTGAAAAGAAACCTGCCTCTGAGTTATTTTTTTTTTTTTTTTTATTTAAATAAAGATTTAGGAGCCAGCCAGGCAGCTCAGCAGGTAAAAGTGCTGGGCAAGCAAGCCTAGTAACCTGAGTTGGATCCCAGAATCATGTAAAAAAGCCAGATGCAGAGGTATGCATCTTTAATCCCAGCACTTGTATAGTGAGATGAGAGACAGAAACAAGAGAGTCATCTAGGCCCAGGATACACAGCATGACAGAGAAAAAGAGAGACCCTGTCTCCACAACGTGAGAGTACCAACTCTCAGAAGTTGTCTTGTGACTTCAATATATGTGCCATATACAGCATACATATGAACCCACATATAAATATATAGATTTGAGTGAACTACTTATATATTTTTAGCCATGGACATCTGACTGCCATCAATAATTTTTTAAATTATTTTCAGTAACATACAAAGTGGGGAGGGCACTATACACATTATTTTCAATTAAATCAAACAAGTCACAGGAAAGAGTGAAAGGATGAGTCTATTAAATTCAAAATAAAGGGAAGAAGAAAAAAGATCAGAACACAGGAGAGCTTCCTGCTCCTCCACAGCCTTTCCGTTTGAATGGTCTCTATGTACTCTTACCTGCAAATTTAAGGGGTAGGGGGTGTGACTACACAATTCTCTTTCAGTAACTATAAATAACCTTTATAAAATTACATAAAATCACTGCATTCTGCCAAAAGAAACTTGTTCTTAATTTAAATTCTTTTTCCAAGTAGCAACATACCCCTTCTAACATTCCTTACGAATAAAATCACTAAGTGAAAACTATAGACAAAATGCCCACAAAAAGAAAACAACTCTGTCTGTGTCTGTAAAAACTCATTTAAATTCAGCTAGAACAGTGAAAGCAATAGATTAGGGAGAGGCAAGGGGGATGGCCCAGCAGGAAAAGGCACCCACCACCATGGCTGACGTTCAGTTCACAGGACCCATGTCACAGAAGTAGAGAACCAGTTTTCAAGCTGTCTTCTCACATCTACACACCTGCCACAGCACATAGACTGGCACACATAAATTTAATTTATTAAAAACCTAATAGTGCCCTTATAAATGCCAAATCCACATGTACGGAGTAGTTCAGTGCTCCTCTGAAAATGACATTGCATGTATCAAAAACAGTTTAGTGATACAGAAATAACACTATGTACTCACTAATCTAAGAACATGTTTCTTTTGGTAGAACACAATAATTATTCTCAAACATGAACATTAAATATTAAACATTCCATTCTGTGCAATAAATACAATAAACTACAGTAGCTACTACAGCATTAACAAAAGCAAGAAATTACTACTAGTTCCTTAATATGAACTGCATAACACAATTAACATTTGGGAAGGATGCACCAAATTCTTAGATGAATTATATCAACATCAGTGCTTTAAAAGATGCATTATTTTTGGCCTGGCTTCATAGTTAAAGAGACAAATACAAAGAAATTAAACAACTCATTTATAGTCAAAAAGTAATAGAAGATCTGAACTCGGGCATCACAATTTGTAAACAACCAAAGTATATGTGCTTACATATGATTTTCACAACATTCAAAACAGTCAATCAGTAAACAACAATCAATCAAATATAAGCCAGAAGCTTTTGTATCACATAAGCTTCCCCAGGTGGGAGACAGCTCGGCAGAACCACTTGAAACATGCTTCTACCACAAGAGGTGGAAACTGCCTGACTAGAACACGACTCTCCATGGGGCAATGGTGAGAGGTGGGTGGTAGAGCTTCACAGAAGTGGCATCTAGTAGAAGGTAATGAGATCATAAGGGACACTGCTAACGGAAGAGATTAATGTTGTTCTTGGGAACACCAGTTAGTTCCCATGACAGTGAGCTGCTATATAAAGAAAGGCCCAGGATTCCAGCCCCAAGAAAGGGCAGGAAGGAAAATAAAACAAACAAAGAAAAGGCAAGTGAATCTTGCTTCAAATTCTTTCTCTTTGACTTTAGGGCTTATAGATAAATACTACAATGGACTAATTTTACTTCAAAAGATGAAAATTAGGAAATATCTTTAAGTACATTATGTACTTGCATGAAAATGGCTTTATATCCTTAGTATAATTTAAAAAACAAGATGAAGATTTAAGTCTATTATGATGACTATCCATTTTGGAATAATCAGGTTAATCCAATCAAAACTCATGAGGCAGGAAACAAAAGGAAGAGGGTCTACAAGATTCTGAACTTCTAGCTTACACTGTGAGCCAATTATATAACATACAATAATAATATATATTATAGTAGAATATATAATGTAACATAAAATAATAATATACTACATATACCTGTATATATGTATATATATATATGTATATATATGTATATATGTAATATATATATATATATGTTTGTATGTATAAAACACCTATTCTTGGTGCCTTTATCACAACAAAACAACAAAATGTTACTTTTCAGAACCTACTTTTCTACCTTAAAATACTACTAATCTAATGTATTTGAAAAATCACAATGTCCAGGGTTGGTGGCACATACTTGTATTCCAGCAGTCAAAGGGCAGAAGTGAAGGAACACATTCAAAGACAACCTGGCCCACACACTAAGTTTGAGGCCAAACAGACTACATAGTCAGACACTGTCTTCAAACAATAACAACTAAACAAACAAACAAACAAAAACTTAAAGAGTTTATAAAAGTATATAATGACTTGACAATTTCTTAAATTAAAATAAATTCCCAAACACTAACTCTTCATACAATATTTTTATGATGAGAATTATAGGTGAGCACATGACCAATCAAGGCAGGCATAGTAAATCTGATACCCAGAAAATCTTATCACAAAGCATTTTCTCCAAGAAAGCAAGACACTATATGCATACATTTTGTTGCTTTGCTAATCCCTGTGTAAATCATTCAAGTAGCTTACATTAACTACGGTGAACTGGGGCATACCTGAAGCTGAAACTCAAAATTCTCAAAGAACAGGTCTGTGTGAAGCTCTTAAAAACACACATACTGAATGTTTCTGAAGTTGAAAAATGGATCACCAATTTAGAGAGCAGACACCAAAGGATTACTATCATTTGTTTCTACAAGTAATAGTTTGGCTTAACCTAAGAATTTTAAGAAAAACTCTTGAAAACAATAAAAGATGGCATTTGTAAATAAGCCTAGATATTATTTTCAATTAAAAAAAAACAAGCAAACATGAGCTGAGGGCAATATTACCCTCTATGTGAAAATACTATTAACCTTTAAAAAAGGCAGAGAAATTCAAACTCAACATTAAGAATCTGAAAATTATTTTAGCTAAGAATCGGTTAAAACAGAAAGGACATATGAAG